AGCATTACAACAAATGGGTTACTCACGATGAATAACTCTTTTTTCGTCTCTACTTCCGTTCTCTATACTCTTGTTCGATAAACAAACGAAAAGAAAATATTTATTAAGCCAGCCATCGAGAAAAGCTCCAATGCGCAAAAGGCGCCTCACTGTAGGAAGAGCAGTAGTTGATGTATTGCCTTTTATTAGCTTTACGCACCATGGTGAGAGTGAGGGTGGGTGTATGGGTAGGTGTGACTATGGCTCTGAGATGGGCTTGGGAGTGTGGATGAGGGTGTGGGTGTGGTTGTGAGTGTAGGTGTGTGTGAATGTGGGGTGTGGGGTATGGGTGTGGGTTGTGGGGGTGTGTGGTTGCGAGAGGATGGGTATGGCTCTAGGAGAGATCGGCGCAGGACACATCGTTGCGGACAATTCGTTATGCAGGACAATTCGTTAAATGGGCAAAATGTTCTATGGACAAAACGTTACAACACTTCATTATGCTAGATCCTTCTACATCTGAAGTCGACTTCTTAAAGTATGATCTAAGAGTATGGGTTTTAGGGTGTAGGTGCGGGTTCCGAGTTTAGAGGGAGGGTATATGATTTAGGGTTTGGAGTGTGAGTATGAAGTTTGAGTGTTATCGTGAATTTAGACGCAGCTGTGGGTATAATTTGAGGGTTGTGGAAGAATTTCTTGTGAGTTAAGCGGTTTATAACTGTCTGCACTGCGTACACCACACATCTACAGGCACATATGAAAACCTACACAGGCTCGCAACAGCATCCTGAACCCCGCACCGGAATACGGCGCCCACGCCCATACCCTTATATCATTATTTTTCAAGTCGACTTCAGATATACAAAGATCTAGCATAATGAAATGTTGTGACGTTCTGTCTATGCAACGAATTGTTCATGCACCGAATTTTCCTGCGACGAATTGTCCATGCGATGAATTGTTCGCGACGATCTCTCTTGCGACGAACCCTCTCGTGACCGTGGGCGTGGGTGTGGATGCGAACACACACAAGATACATACTTACATCCACACCCAGACCCACACTCACGCCCACATACCTACATCCACACTCACACCCACACCCCACACCCACGCACACCCTCACTAATCAGTACTGTCACCAGTCATAGGACATATATCCATAGAGAAAAACCCAGTGCGAAGACAAAAGGTTTGTTAGTACAGCTTCTTTGGAACTGAAATGTAGAACCCACTTACTTTCTTCAGTTTCATTACAGTAATGAAAAACTACAATTTTCAAATTTTCTAAAAAGACGATAGTTCACTGTAATGATAATTGATCGTCAGCTAATGCTATCTTTTTAATTTCTACACTTTGATCAGAATTTTTTCTACTTTTTTGACGAAGTTGCTATGGCCTGTAATGAAAATGGGGAGGAGTAGAGAAAGGAGCCGCGAAAACTGGACCTTAAAATTTACATTCGCTATTTTCTACAAAAACATATATATGAGTTCCACAGAAGAAAAGGGCAGAGAGAGAAAGCACGTGAATCAAGGAAAATAATGGGATGCATTGATGAATATCAGGAGTATAGTGATGATCCTGATTGTGATTATCTAAAAAACTGTCAATTAATCGCGATTAACCGTTAAAAAATAGAAGATATCGACGACATCAGTTATTATACAGAGACATTAGACTCCATCGAAATGATGCACAACCTGTTTCTCAAATAGATAAAAAAATCTACTCAGTTTGGTTTTGACATCGGTCAAGAAACTAATGACTGAAATGTGTGTAAAAACACGTTAATAACAGTAAGCTCAAACTACTACCGAGTATCCCAGTGGTAAAAAAGACAATGCTTTTGTGAGAATAACGGTGCAGTACCTTTGTCTTTTACTCTTAAACCAAAATGTTTACTACTGAATGAACCGTTTTGTCAGTAAGAATAAGTTGATTTCAATAAAAATGGCTTATCGAATACTCACTATCACTAACCTTCTGTTGGCTGTAGATAGTTTTACCAACTTGGTGGTCTAACACGAGAAAGTGATCCAATAATTATAAAACAGCACCATCAGAATGAAACTCTTCATTTCTTCCACTCATATCAACTCTGCGATGTTATAAATGTCGAGACAAATTCGGAGACCAATGCGGCGATCCATTTAACAGGAACGAGTGCGGAGTCGTTGAGGTGAAAGCAGTTAACAATTATTGTTGGGTAGATTCTTTTAGAAGTTCAGCAGCCCGTTTCTCGTCACACTATTTCGTATTAATCTATTTAAAAAATAGAAGCCCACGTTGACAATGTCAAAGGTGTAGCCAGGGATGGCAATAGACTGCAAGATGAGGATCCTAATGTCTCCTGCCCTGGCTTGAATGAATGTCGCGACTATAGTGTTTCAGGGATCAATATCAGGACGAAGATATGTTACTGTTCGTGCAAAGACTTCTGCAATACAGCTATAGCAACAACCTCTACTTTCGCTTTGTTGGCCATTACAGCCATAATTGTGGGCGCTGTTACTGAATACATTGGTTACAGCTAATTCTTCATCTTTTTTTTCCATTCTTCTTTTTTTTTCGACATACTTATCTCTGATTCATGCAATTTAATCAAGAATCATATTGATACCAGATACTGCAACGAATGAGAAAATGAGTGTGAGAGTGTGGGTACGGGTGTGGATGGTGTAGCTATGGATTGTGTGTGGAGTGTGAATGTGCAGAGTTAGAATGGAGCATGGGTATGAAAGATGGGCTTTTCATCACCCATACTCGCGTTCCATTCTCTATTGTCTCTTTTTTCTATTTGCGACAGTATTTGACTGCATTCGTTTCTACAGAAAAAGAGTGAATGATCAAATAGGATAGTGTTTGAAATCTCAGCGGATCTCTATCTTTGAAAACATCTTGAGACTTCAATGGTTATAGTAACTTAGACATTGTGTGAAACTACTGATCATAAGATCGGTGTGAATATAGGCCTTCGTTTAAACCACTTCTATATTCATACGCACATACGTTTTTTCATATAGACTTGTCGGCGTCTTCTGTGGAGTACGGAATGAATTGATTTTTCTTGGACTGACTTGAGTAGTATTAAGATTTAAATTTCTCTCACTCCTCCTCCCTCCAAAATGATGTCAACGAAGCAGATACCCAGCTTGATAACTATTCCAACTATGAGCTGGATTGTAAAAGTCTTATCATTGCTAAGGCAACCGAGTTGTTTATCAAAGAAGTTGGTGACACATGTTTTTAATCGCCATAGACGATATTTCGGGTACTTGAATCTAATTTCGCATAAGATCGGAGTGTGTGTATAAGGGGTGGATATGGATGTGCAGGATGTGGGTTTAGTTGAAGAGAAGATCCACACCCACACACTCACATGCCATCCTATTTCAATCATTTATACATATATATTTTTCACATAGAGATAGTCCTAATTTAAAGAGAGGTAGTCGAAACTTTTCAATCACTGATTATTTGCTAATAAAATTGTTCAATTATTTAAAAATTTGAGTAATAAAAAAACCCTAGATAAACTTTATATAAAAGAGTTTAAAATTGGTGTAGGAAATGTGTGTTGTTCAATCATTGATATTATCCTAACCAAAAATAATGATCTTGTTTATCATTAATAATAATACAATTGAAATGATTAAGTCGAGTATGTTGTTGTTCTAACCATTCTACAGCAGGTGGTGAAGAATTTTTTTGTTGAATATGTACATGTAGACTATTCAATTGAAGCATCTTACGTAAAATAAAATCGATAGTGTTATTTCTTGAATGAACACCTAATGATAAATGTTGACATTTTGAAGAAAAAATTGGTAAAATTTTCTCAAGTTCATTTTTATTAAAATATTGTAATGAATTTTTGTTTGAATAAAAAGTTAACGAACGAATCTTTCGTGATAGATGATTACATATACATATATCAGTCCAATTATCTGTCAATAGTTTCATCATACTCTTTTTCGCAGTTAATGAATATAAATATGGTGTATTATCTAATAAAATATTAAAATTTTCCATTGATAGTACTGCACAATCATCAATAGTTAAATGTCGTAATTTAGTCAAGACATGTGCCCAATCTAATGAATCGAAAGATGTATTAATTATCAAATTCATTATATGACTTCTATTAAAATTTTGATCAGGTTTTGTATAACTTTTAAATATTAATGTTTTAATATTTTTGTATGTATTGATACTTAGATGATCAATATTATTTTTCGACCAATTTGAAATCATTGTTTTTGAAGAATTTTTAAAAATTGTTAATGTTTCAAAAGGAAATGGTATTGTATAAAGAATTGCAAATTTTCGACGTCTGTTATACATGTCATATGTATCACAACGAGCAGATAAATCACAATGAATAAACCAATTCTTTTCAAGTACATAGAATGGTGTAGAGAACGATGCTATGACTTGTTTAACTTGATGCAATTGATAATCATAACAAGCGAATTGAAAATAGAATTGAAAATTTTTTAATAATGGAAGTGATGAAAGAATTATTTGTTCCCATA